TTTAATTAACAAATGGTAAACACCACAGCGTACACTATTGAGTTATGGATGCACGCGGGAGGTTGCTAAGCACGAAAGAAGCGTAAGAGTCGCTCGAGGCGATAGCCGAGAGCGACTCTAGCTTCTTGAGTGCTTAGCAAACCTCCCAAGTGCATCCATAACTCAATAGTGTACGCTGTGGTGTTTACCATTTGTTTTATAACATAACATTGATACATTGTAGCTAAAGAGTTCCCGTTTATTTAACAAATCTTACGCGACCAGAAAAAACAAGCGCGCGCGGAAAAATAGTCTTTGCATTTGCTCACGTCAGCAGCGTACACCCATGGGCAAATGGGGAACGCTAAATTGACCAATCAGAGCGCGCGCTTTACTTTGGTTATGTTATAATAGGTGTTATGACAAGATATTTTGGTTGTAGCTACTGAGTCGATAATGCCGCGTAAATTGGCCATCGTAAGGAGTTTCTATAGCTGACGTTTCACTCGTCAGAACGAAGGGCTCTGACAAGAGGCTATCGCTGAAACATTACCTTGAGAAAATCTGTCCAGCTAGCATATGCAAAACTATTTACCTTTTAGGACCACAGTCCTAGTGTCTTCTCCGTCAGAGTTTTTAGCGACAGAAACGTAATCACCGCAGTGCTCGGCTGTAATGTTTCTTAGGGTCAATATGGCTTCAGAAATACCGCTTACTAATACTTTGTCATTTCTCTTCCACGTGACGTTAACAGGAGACAAGCTTTTAGCAGTACATATAAGGTTCACATTCTGTCCTCTCCTGAGCGGCGGCGGTTCACTGATGTTTGTGATTCTTGGTAGATTGAGAATGGCTGCAAACAAATTTATTTGGATCAATCTTCAACGCAGTGACTAGCTATGACTTGATTTAGAGCAACAATTTGAATTATATCTATGAAAAATGAGTAACATAGTCTGAAATTATCCACATATGCAGAGAAATTATACCCGAAATTCTCAGTGATCTTGAAATTGCTTTTTCGATTTCTTTTTATAATTAAGGGGCCCTTACAGTCAAGAAACTCTAACTTAATTGATCCCAAGTAAAGAAGACAATACCCCCATATTCTTATCAATTGTTGCTTTCACTGAGGAGATAAGTTTTCTTAGCGGACTCTGTCGTAAAACCTAGAAATGAACCATAGTCACAGCAACCTGAAGTACAATTTCAATTTAGCGCAACCATTTTCTGAGCTGTCTTGAACCACCTTACTTACGTCTGGACTTAACTTTAAGGTAAACTGTGTCGGTCAGCGGGGTATGCTGGAGACCGTATTCTACCACAATTCCATACTTCTTGCCATCTTCGAGTTTTACATTGTAAAGTTCAAACACCGCGATAGAGGATGTCAAATTTCCTGCCCAACCCACCGATGACTTATGTGTAGACCTCGTTAAGGAAAAACCACTTGAGTTGACAGCTATCAACTTTGTTTTCAGGAACCCAGGACTCTTCCAAATACCAAAAACCACCTCGTAAAGATCATCCTTCAAATCTCCTGAATTGTAGTGCCACCTTAATGAAACAGTGTCGCCAGTGAAGGCTTCTGTTGGCTTTTTAGGAGCAGCGATCATTCTTGGATAAACTATAGCTTGAATGAATCCTGTAAATGGTGAGGTACCAGTCATTATTCATCCCGTATGGAAAGCGGCGTGTGGAGTACTTTGGTTGTATCACAATGAAATTTTACCGGACCACCCCTTAAGGCTAAATGGCACTATAATCCTCCCATTTATACTCTGTTGACCACGACTGATCCCCCTCCGTCCCTCCTGTGACCCCCCTTACCCCACGACGAAAAAATCCTCCACCATAATGATTGGTACCTCCGTAGAATTAAACGGTCTCAAACAAATTACGTCCAGTTAGCTGATTGTTAATGATGTCTCGGTGATTGTTTAATATTCAGTGAAAATCACAGAGACGGCAAACATGTTTGAGGCTTTTTCCTAGTTGAAGATCTTTTGGGCTCGGTAATTGATCATTATCTGGTCTGTTATTTGACAATTCAGTTTCATAGATGACAACTAATTTATTAACTTTTTACTTTTCCTGGACAAAGCGTTTTTCATGTCATGCGTCTAATATTAGGAAAGAACAAATTAAAAGACGTCAAGAAAACCTTGATTTCAAAAAGAAACAGAAACGAGCAATGTCCAGGAGTTTAGAAACAAAATTGGTAAGTGGACGAACGAGTACTAAAACTGGAATGAACCTTGTTTTAAAGGAAGGTCGAGCTTATCGTGACACTCTTGAATTTATTTTAAGCGAATTTTTAAGACCTATCTTGTAGGAGCCTATTTTGCATAAAGCATATAACCATGGTTTTTTTTTATAACACGATTTCATTTCAAAACGTGCTTTACCTGTTGCCCGTCTTTTAACGGAGACGTACAAAGTGTTTCGATGGACTACCTTATAATTGCGTCTTCTTTAAACGTATTATGCGTCTTTTGCCAGTCTTTCTATAAAAAGACATACGCATTATGCGTCCAGATGAAGTAACTTTTTAATGCGTAGACGCATAAAATCTATTTGCCTAAGTTCTTTTAGACGTTAATGCGTCATCAATTGGAGGCTGAGTGCAAAATTGTAACAACATTTCTAAGAAGAAACGCTTGGTTGACTTCCAATTTTCTAAAGTGTTAAGTTCAGGGTTAAATACTAAACTTATTTTCTTCGCGTCAGTTAGATGCATTGTTAAGTTAAAGGAATGAAAATGTTTAACAAGTTTGAAAGCCACCTTTCTTTCTTAAAGCCAGGAAATTTGCAGCGAACAAAGAGCAGCCGACATAACGTTCTTCGTTTGTCGATTTTGTACTCAAAGCTACTTTCACTTTCTTAGTAAACGGAACTTTAGACGTAACATTTCTAAACAGCCAAACGCATTTACTTAATATCTAGTTTTCTAAACAAAATTTTCTAAAATTCAAACGGTTAAGCCAAAACATTAAATTAACGATAAATATAGCAGAAGAGCCCCTAATCCGTAATATGACAGCTCACGACAGGCGAAGGCGAGCAAAGGCGAGCAGCGCCACTGGCGACAACTCGAAATTCCGCAATCCAACAGTCTCGAGACTTCGCTAGTTCTGCTAGTGCAAGATTTCCCGATATAAGGAGCGGCTACTTGGCGTGATAAGCTCGTCTATTCATGTTAGACCCATGTGACCTATGGGCCGGACAACATGTCATGGGAAAGCAAAGTGTGAATGATCAAATTACGCTCAAACGTATGAAGATGATAATTAGGCTTCCCCTTTTTCTTATTTATAATCTGTGAGATCCTTTAAGAGATGGTGTGTTATATACCAAAATATGTTGTTGTTGTTGATCTTCCTTTCGTGTTCTAAACACTGGTTTGACACATTTTATCTTTAAATTTCAATTAACTGAATTACATCTATACAAAGCGAAAGAGGAAGCTATTCCTGATAGCTAAAAGTCCGCCCGGAATTTGCAAAACACATTGCCCCTTTACAAGAGAAAAGTTTTTTGTGCTGAATGATCAAAGAGCTTGTTATTCAGGTAATGGTCAACAAAATTGAAAATATCAGGTTTCTTAAATGGATAGCGTGACTGCAGATCGAAGCCTTATCTTGATAAATGACTTCGCTTGGAATAAACAAATTAGTGATTCAATTGACTCTTATTGAATGACCACAAACTACATAAACAGCACACGCTTACACATACCTGTTGCTGTGATAATACAGACGACAAATACAAGTCCTTTCGGGCTTTGGTGCATTTTTTTCATTCAGTCGTCAGCGAGTTAATTGGGTGCTCCTTGGTGCAAGTTCAGGTTTTCCAGCACAAACAGCCACTCTTTGCTATAGAGCCCTTAGCCTAAACGATCGATAAGTCTGACATAGACATAATAAGCAGGGAAGTAGCAGCTAATCTAAACTGTTGAAGTGTTATTTTGATGTCTTGAAGCACATCAGTTGGCAAACATGATCGCTAAGAGAGCAGAAAATTAGTGGGTACAGAAGAAAGTAACTAATTTTTGAGGAAAAAACGACTTGAAGTGATTCTTGGAACTCTTACCTCGTTTGCATTTCCGCAGGCCTTCAGTCAAACAGTCCATATCTCAATATACCCTCTAAGCCATATTTGTTCTTCGGGTCTCTCGTTAATTTTCTCAGAAATAAAACGGAAATCAAAGGTCGTGACTACGAATCAGTCTGATTGCTGTTTGACATTTGCATTGGCTCAAGTTCAAACCTCGGTTAAGTGTAAGTCACATAGTGTCTGGCGGCTAATTCACTCAATAAAATGGTAAAATTACAGCCTTCGAGATGCCACAAGTTTCCATTTACAGTGTTCCAGTTTAATCGTAACATGATTTCACACCCAAAATGGTGTGACGAGCAGGTCAACTGTGTTACAGGATGTAAATCTGGTTTTCACTTTCTTCGGGTGAATAAACAAAGTTCTCAAATAACTTTACTGTATCAGTTTCTAACAGGGCGATGATCAGGGTTCATCTTCCAAACATGGAAATTACCTCAAGGATAACCTAATAAACTTTTCCTTGTCTTTTTTTTTTTCCTGAGGCAATCCAAGCCAAGTCTTCAACAGAAACAAAAGTTACAATGGTAGAGAAAGATGTTTTTCGTCTTGTCACGAGCGTGGAACAAAGAAGAAATTCTGAGGAATTGAACCTCATACCTTCCATGGCCAGAAATCCGATACAGTATGGCCGCCGAGCAGGCGCATTGATGCCAAATACAGTCTTGAATTCAAACGCGTAATTCAAGCCGTTACAAAGAAAACAGTGAGATTTTAAGTTACCTTGATTTATTATTCGTTGTTACATCCCTTTGGAAGCTTCAGCCCAAGGTTGAAAAATCTTAAAACAAAGTTAACATCTAGTACAACCTGAGGAATCACGTAGTTAATATTTTCGTAGTGGTTAAACCCGTTCCCAAGTCCAATCTTTCTCAGCGCAAATATGCTTGCAATCTGCCATATGTCTTCTCTATTGGCTAGCTGAGTTCCCATTTTCTCGAAAATATCAACTGGTCTCAGGAGGGTTTTGGTATCCTTTCAAAAATCCAAATGAATAAAGGCTGATAGTTTCGAAAGAAACTGTTCGGGGCTGCGTCGGTGGGAGTAACGAAATAACTTGGATATATCAACAAAGTTAAAGTGGTAAATTGGCCACCGTAACGATTACAAAAGCTGACGTTTTGAGCGTTAGCCCTTCGTCGGAGTGAATAGAGGAATTGTGGGTTGTGTGTGCTTTTAAAGGCAGTCTAAATCCCACAGGGATCAACGAACGCTTTTCATTCCACAAATTTATTCTTGTTTTTCTCGTTGCCATGTTCCCACCAATAACGTAGCTCCATTCTCTGCCTTTAAAAGCACACACAACCCACAATTCCTCTATTCGCTCCGACGAAGGGCTAACGCTCGAAACGTCTGCTTTCAAAAATCCGCTTGCTTTGTCTACACCAGAAATCAGAATGCGGAATCCGTACTCTGATGCTCAACCACAATGCCACAGACTGACTCTAAGGTGAGCAAGGTCCATTATGAACTTCATATATGACACGCGAAATGCATACGGCAAGGATCGGCAATGTCGATAACGTCATATTTTGTAAATAGAATAAGAAAAATGGTAAGGTTTGTGCTCGGTTAAGAAACAGGGAAAGCGTGGAACTAAGAGGAAAAGAAGTGACGAAGGAGTGCCATCGGGTTCAATGACACTGGGCCTACTGAAAATATGTTCTCTTGAATCTTAAGAATCCACCATGATATCGGTAAGTTTCACTCTCGACGCAACAATTATTTATTTAAAATCATAATGTGCAAAACGTAGAGATGTCATTTGAACGAATAACAATAAAATCAAACAAATAAGGCACTTGTTGATGTGCATGGTTTAAAATGTTACTGTATGTGAACTAAAACGAAACGATCAATAGATGAAGAAATTTCAAGTTATTCCCATGTATAAAGCTAAATGTTTGTTTGTGGGAATACTTTAACATTTCACTGAATAAAAATTGAAACAAAACGAACAACGCTCTCGCTCTACGCTTCTATGAGATCAAAGACAACAATCTCAGATTATACGCTTGTCAGGTCGAGGACGAACAATAACGACGCTTCACGCTTGAAGTAAAAGACAAACAAATACGACTCTCGCTCGACGCTTGAGGTCAAGGACTAACAGACGAACAACGCTCTCGCTACTCGCTTAAAGCGGAATACGGCTGGGAAATGGCACTCAACGCGACATGAACGGAAACGTCGAATCCAGATCAGAAGACTCACGAATTGAGCAAAAATCGAGTTAGGGCCAAACTACACAACTGCCGCGCATGTGTATGTAAAAGCAGCGTTGAGATTAGGATTGCGGGCTCCTCTTGTCGCCCGCAAAAATTAATAAAAATTGAAATACATTTCTCAAGCACCACACTCTCCACCGTGAACCTTTCATGTGAGTCATGGGTTGTAAAATACTAATCTACAGAATTCACACAGATGAAAATTGTAACGACACAAATCAACTGTATCCTTTAACTGACGAGTCGTTGAACGCTACCGGTGATGATGGCCCCAATCCTATTTGCTATTGGACGGTTGTCAATAATACTGACAGTTATCACGTGATATTCTGATGGCGTCATGGTTAGTGCGCTCGACGCCGGATCGAATGGTCTGGGTTCGAGCCCTGGTCGGGGACATTGTGTCATGTTCGTGGGATAGACACTTGACTTTTGCAGTGCCTCTCTTTACCCTCGAGAATTAAATGGGTACCGGCGAATTTAATGCTGGAGATAACCCTGCGATGGAGTAGTATTCCATCCAGGAGGGAGTAAAAATACTCCGAGTCGCTAGACCGGAATTAAGCGCCGGCCCGGTGGGCCACTTGGCTCGTAAGCAGACTTTTTTACCTTTTAACCTCAGGGTGCTTGGTCCTTGTCACGTTGGAAATCAGTTGCATGTCAGGCTGCAGTCTGGAAGTAGAAGCGAACCAAAATTTAAACCTTAAGGCCCCGTGCAAATGCACTGGATTTGTCCACTATATAAGCTCTCACCATGTTGAATGTTTGTTAAGGTGTTGTTGAGCGAGGTGTTCAGATGATCTCAACAATGACTCAACACTGTTGAGCATTCCGAAGATTTTACAAAGGCTCATGGGATAGCCTATCCCGCAATTTCTTTGACCTTATTTCGTTAAGTTCTCGGCCAAGCTGAGATCGAAGGCCGAACGTCTTTGTCTTAATATCTGCCACCTCAATTTCTAGTTCGTCACTCATATCACTGAGTGCTTTCTCTCTCTTGTTTTTTGAATGGTATCCTTTCGTGCTTACGCCCCAGAAGCATGTATTTTTCTCCAACAAATCAATCAGCTTTTCCGTTTCCTCCTCCGTCCTTTTCTTGTATTTCCTCTTTTAGAATTATTTTGCATTTGAACTTTCCTGTAGAACTTCCGGCTAACTGCTGCGACGCTATCTTGTAAAATGTTCGGTATGTTTAAACTCCCAATGGTTACTCTGGGCACTGCGCATGCGTGGGATCAACATGTTGAGTGTTGCTGTACAAATGCACTCGACTTTGTTGAGCCACGCATGGATGTCCGCGAAACAAAGGAAATGTTGAGCAGTGTTGAGGGAAGAGTTTGACCAGTTTCAAATTTGATTCAACAGTCAACACCGCTCAACACCTCTCAACAGCGTGTTCAAATGCGCTCAACTTGTTGAGCTCAACATGTTGAGAGCGTGTACAGCTACAGTGGACAAATCCAGTGCATTTGCACGGGGCTTATAAAGACAAGAAAGATTAAAGACATGGGTGAGTAGCAGAAAAATTTCTTGCCTTCGACCTTTGTACATAGTCTCAGTAATAAATAAGAAATTTAGAAGAAAGTCCTTGAAAAAAGAATGGCAAAACTCAATGCGAGATGCCTTTAAAATGACTTAACGTACTCGAATCTAATTGAGTAAAATATCATTACACTAACTCTTCACCTTCCTCTAAAAGCCGCAGCAATTTGACAAGCAGATATCAGTCTCAATTTGACGATTTCTTTTTTTGATAACCTGATTATTCTACCCCGGTTCGTTTGTTTACGTTTCATTGGTTGGTTCATCCTCGGAGACCCAGGGGCTGTGGGTCGATTTCAAGTTAGGGCGTGAAGAGCCCCTAGGGACATTGTCTTAGAAGACAAGTTCCAAACAGTCGCAGTCGTTCTGCCATCTGATTGGTGCCAGAAAATCTTTGTGTTTTTCTGCCTAATTAGAGTGAAGTGTGCTTTAGAGTCCTTTCGTGTGTTTTAACACGGACATAAACTACTAGCTCAGCTGGTCGCTATGTTTGTTTAGACCGTACGACGGAGATTCTCTTGAGGCGAAAAGTTTCAGTCTCGGCACACAATGTAAGAGAAATCGATCAGATTGTCAGCGAAAATCTTACCGGAAATTATACTGAATACTTTCGCAGGTATCACTAGAGAACGTGTTTTAAAGTTTGAGAGGTTTGTATACAACACGATGGTTGCAGTCATTGATATGTCGCTTTAAACGTCTAGATTTTTTGCATAATTTGCTGTGACTGAAACTTTGCCAATCCCGTCAAGTTATTTCGTCGCACGGGCCACGCAGGTATGTCGAGCAACTGGTACTTGCGCAACTTTCTGTGCGTGCCAAAATCAAATCTCATCTTCTCTTGAAAAAAAAGAAAAGCTAAGCGTGGAAACTTTTGCTTATTAGATGTGAGTAGATGAACCTGTACTACTAAGCTGACATTTGCAATAAAGCAAACCCGCCCTTCCCATCCAATATTTCTTGGACTTTGGTTTTGTTTTTCCCACTGAAAACAGCATCGGATCGATTTCCAATGATCAAAGGTATTTAACTTGGTCTTCAACAATCGACAGAAGAGGTGAAATGACAATGTCTCGTTAATAAGTTTTTGTTCAGATTTTAATTAGCTAACCGGAAACACAGCTAAGCTTTCTCTTAGCACTTGCAGGATGTGGTCCACGGACTTAACGTTCTCTGCAACCTTGGCCCTATTGTGAACGACTTTACTACTAAGATTACATTTTGGCGCGCACAGAAAGCAGAAAGCTACGTAGGCGAAAGCGCCAGTTGCTCGACATACCTGCGTGGCCCGTGCGACGAAATAACTTCAAAGGATGGCAAAGTTTCAGTCACAGCAAATTATGCAAAAAAAATCTAGACGTTTAAAGCGACATATCAATGACTGCAACCATCGTGTTGTATACAATCCTCGCAAACTTTAAAACACGTTCTCTAGTGATACCTGCGAAAGTATTCAGTATAATTTCCGGTAAGATTTTCGCTGACAATCTGATCGATTTCTCTTACATTGTGTGCCGAGAGGCCCGAGACTGAAACTTTTCACCTCAAGCAAATCTCCGTCGCACGGTCCAAACAAACATAGCGAGCAACTGAGCTATAGGATATGTCCGTGTTAAAACACACGAAAGGACTCTAAAGCACACTTCACTCTGATTGGGCAGAAAAACACAGAGATTTTCTGGCACCAATCAGATGGCAGAACGACTGCGACCGTTTGGAACTTGTCTTGTAAGACAATGTCCCCAGGGGCTATTCATGCCCTAACTTGAAATCGACTCAGCCCCTGGGTCTCCAAGGATGTGGTTGGTTCAACGGTCGTGGAAAAGAATTTTGGAAAACTGATTAGAAGTGATGAAAGTACATAGACAAGCTGGTTGGTTAGTTGGTTGGATGGTTGGTTATCTTTATTTATACACGATATATATGAAAGCTAAAAGCTTCTGGGGTCGTGTACAATAAAATACTACTTAATTAAAATCAAATACAGCTAAACATTAAATATAATTAAGCAAATTAAAGCGTATTGAATGCCATAAGTGCGACATTGAAACAGAATCAATTTACAATTAGATGTATACAAAATCTTCAAGTTCAAAACTAGCGGACGATGCTGATACTACGTTGAATTTAACGGCCTTAAAAAGATACAAGTACCTTAACGTCGGTGATGACCCACTGGGATGATATAAGAATGGAACGTTGATTTAAATCGATAAGAGAGCTCAGAAATCTACAGTGTATGTAATACATGTACTTTGTTTCGATTCGGTTGCATGTTTTTACTTATTCTGTTTGCCACATCAGATTGGCTGTAATTTGAGAGCGTCGTGATAAACACGTGAAAGCCAACCGAGATAGTATATTTTGCTGTTTTACGTTTCCCGGAAAATTCTGTGACTTTACGCTTCTTTTCATTTCTCTGTCGAGCGTGGTTCGTTATAATTAGAATTGAACTTTTTGGTTGGTTGGAAATTGGATTAATCAAAGCGATGAGGAAACGTTCGATACTTTGGATTTGTCATGTCGTGATTTACTGCGTCACAGGTTAGCCAAACTATTCGCTTGGAAATTAGTGAGTTTTTTAACATGATTTCTTGTCGGCTAATTGAAAGTCTTACCCTTGTGTTCAAAACGATCGTTGGTCCGAATTTTAAAGAACAGAAGAGGAATACTATAGTTTAAGTATTTTAAAATCTACATTTGATATGCAGGTCTCAAGTCTCACGCATAATGCTTAAACAACATTTTAGATGGATGATATTGTTTTTATTCCGGAGAAAATAGGATAATTAATGCGAACTTCGGAGCATCAGTGTATATTAGGACGATGAAATTATTCAAGTTAATCAAGCCACACTTTTTCGGAGGACTTTTAAGCGGAAGCGTTAAGAACTTAAGCTAATAAAATAATATGCAGAAGGAATATGCGTAAACAAAACAGTTTAAGGCTTCGGCTTAACGCTTTTATCGATAGAAAGGTTAAAAATGTATGAAAATGTTCGTAGCTAGAACTTAAAATTGAATCTCGGAGACACTATCTTAACTAAACAAAAACTTTTCCATGTAAATTCAAGTATCAGTTGTGTGTGTTTTTATAATTAATCTGCATACGTTTCTCAGAAATTGTTTACCCTTCGATAATATCGATCCTTTCTGAGAAAAAGTGGAGGTGAAACTGACTATCATTTAAGAGGTTAAATATATCACTGGTAATATTATGAAGGACCAGTAACCTCGTTGCAGTCGTGCTAATATACGGAGCGGATGGTCGATCCATAACTACTAAATAGAATGCGTGACCGTAGACCTCTGTGACACACGAAAGGGGTCACGCTATGAAAAAAAGGTACGAATTTAATCCATCATTGCTCCATTTGTGGCTCAGTCTTTACCTGTTCAGTGTCCCTCTATACCAAAGTAAACCATTATATCAGGCTTTTACCGCAAAAAATTTGATATGACTTAAATTTTGAGCGCAACAGTTTTTTGTAATAAGCAGTGATAGAGAAGTTTCAGGATCTCACATCCAAAAGTTGCTTTTTGACGGGGTGCCTGCGACTGCACGATACAATGCTAGTCAACGTATCTAGTATATTATAGCCAACCACTGAGCAGTCTGTGAAAGATGTGCAATAAACGAGGAACAAAAAACAAAAAGATAATACATTAAGTAACTTTTCTTGAGAGTGAAACTTATCTATATCAAAAAAGCTTCAATAAAAATAGGCCCAGCGTCATTAAACCTGGTAAGTCCTTCATCACTTCTTAGACGTTATACGTACGAAGGGACCATTCATTATTTTTCACCTGAGAGGGGTATGATTTTTTTTGCAGGGGGAGAGGGAATCACAAGGTTTTCAGGGGGAAACGGAATGGGGGATCAGTCGTGGTCAATAGAGTATCAAGGGGGGCACTACAGAAAATTGACTGCCAGTGAGCCTTAATGGGGGATTAAGTAGATTTCACTGTGCCACAACCAAAGTTCACCCCCCCCTCCCCTACGGGATGAATAATGACTTGTGCTTTACCATGTTATTTACAGGATTCACTCAAGCCATAGTTTATCCAAGAATGATCGCTGCTCCTAAGAAGCCAACAAAAGCCTACACTGGCGACACTGTTTCATTAAGGTGGCACTACAATTCAGGAGATCTAAAGGATGATCTTTACGAGGTGGTTTTTGGTATTTGGAAGAGTCCTGGGTTCCTGAAAACAAAGTTGGTAGCTGTCAACTCGAGTGGCTTTTCCTTAACAAGGCCCTCATATGAGTCAGCGGTGGGTTGGGCAGGAAATTTGACGTCCTCTATGGCTGTCTTTGAACTTTACAATGTAAAGCTTGAAGACAGCAAAAAGTATGGAATTGTGGTAGAATATGGCCTCCAAAATACCCCATTGACCGGCACAGTTCAGCTTCAAGTTGTATCCGGACTTCAAGCAAAATTGAGACGTAAGTAATATCGTGAACGGATAGCTCAGAAAGTGTTCGTTTTTTAACTCAAAATTGTATTTCAGGTTAATGTGATTATGGTTCCTTTGTGGGTCATACGATGGGGCCCACGGAGAAGAGATGCCTGCATGTCTCTTGCAAAAATGCAAAAAATTGATGAGATTTTAGGGGCATTGTTTTGTTCAGTCAGGATCCAAAATGTAGTTCCTTGATCAGAAGGGTCCCCAAAATCTCCCAAAAGAGATGCCGCGCTGAATTATTCTGAGAAATCGATAACGGTTATTTCAAGATCAGTGCGAATTGCGAGTATAATTTTATTCAGTGTTACTGTTGGTTATTATCTTTTTTATAAATATAATAAAACTATCGTCAGTTGTAGCTATACAAGCCGTCCGTTTCCATCGTGAATGGTCCAACACTACATTAATCACTGGAAGATTGATATCCGGACAACTGTGTTTGCAACCATTCCTAACTCTACCGAGAACGAAGATCGCCAACGTCAGTAAACCGCTGCCACGTAAAAGGAGCGGGAAAATATTTTCTATCATACTGTTCGGAAAAATAAAGAGTTAAATGAAAAAAAAAAGGAAGAATTCAGCCTCGAAAGAAATGTGTGTCGGATGCGGAGATCTGGGGTCTGGTTGTTGAATGATACCATGTTCTCAACTCTAAACTTAACATTTTGACTATACCAATTGTATTTCAATTCAAAACTACCAGGTATGATAGTGGATTTTGCGTATTTTCTTAGACACAGGTCCACCAAAAACTGCTACTACACAACAGAGAAATGTCACCATGGCTGTGATGAGTACTACTTACGAACCTGGGTCTCCAGAAACGTCAAAAGGTAATGTTCCTATCCCGATGGTCCGCGCATCTAAACATACAAAATTTATGCACCAGCCAGATCATTGGCCAATTACACAAGATGACATTTCTTTTCCTAACTAATCAAGAATTTGAAGTTGCCATGATAACCTTTTTTCTACTAACTAATATACTCCCCACTCTACAAATTCGAGTCCGGTAGCCCGAGTTTAGACTGCAAATGATTTATCATATAACGAGTTCAAACATTTCATAACTATTTAACTTGCGAGAATACTTTCATTCCTATGAATTAACCTTCAAACAGATCTTCATACTCATTATCTACCTACCTTTTTACCAACATATCTGCTCCCCCAACTGCTACAGTTTGATCAACAGAGTCGTTATTTTATATATATATCTGTTCTAGAGCCCGGCGTTTCAGTGCCATCTGGAGAATCCTCCTTTAAATTGATGGTGGCATGCGGAGTCATCTTATTTGGTGTGATAACACTCATTGGGGTGAGCCTTTGGTTTCGCCGTCATACTGAGAACACCAAATGTGGCGCACATCATTATAGCTGCTGTAAACCTGTGAAAGGTCTTGTCGACTATCAAATCGTTTCTTTTTAAAAATTTTCGGTATTAAATGCATTGATAACAGTCCAAGCATTTAGAAAAACTTCGAAGACCCTTCCTATAGACGACTCACCCTTTTCACTAAAAGCAACAAAAAATAAATTTTGGCGTGTGACCGGGGACATTCATGATACGAGAATTAAGAGATGTTAAGTGTTACTGCTCTAGCAGCATCACTCATGATTGGTTCATCATGGCACGACAGCAGTTTCAAACGTCGAAATCATTTCAATCGAACTCAACCTAAATTCCTTTTTAAAACGAATTGAAAAACTCTTATCTATATGTAGTTCACTCATAATGTTGAATGAAAGCGCAAATCAGATCCATGGAACCAGTTTGATGTAGGCAAGACTGACCCAAACGAGTCATTTGAGACCAAGCTGCTCTTATGACTGCCGCGCAACACGGGTAAACCTGTCTTGCTGAAGTAAATCTCCCCGAACGTAACACTAATGGAGATTGATTTTACGAGTGCATATTTACATCAAGCACTCCCCCTAGGCAGCGAAATTGTCATTCTGATCATTTCCTCTATCAGTTGCAAGCTTTTCTGCCTTCACTTCGGCAAAAGTCCTTCAGCACTACAAATATCCTACCCAAGGGAAAACTTGACCCTCGATGAGCACCTCGAGCCAAAGGTTCAGAAGTTCAAAAATAGTTTAAGTTATCCGTATTGTAGTGACTCATTTAAACCACCTCTTTCTACATGCAATCCAGGAGCCTGGTAAAAAAAAAAAAAAAGAAAAAAACGCACGAAAATATTTCTTCAAAGTGTTTAAACTATATAGCTAGACATCATAACATAACTGCCGCGAATTTTTGGTTAATTTCATCAGAAATGAAAAATCAGCGTTTTCTTCATACGGCTCAAGCCTATGAAAACGGAATATTTCAATTTTAATGTCTATGTATACAAGTTGTTTTAGTGGACACTATAATTTCAATAGGTTCGATAAGTCGTTTATTATTAACTTTGACCCTTGCTTCATTAGTTATGTTGTGTTCAGACGAAAGTTTTTTAATGTTTTGTGCGTCGCCAAATGCATGACATGGTGACACTACAGTCAGACAACCCCTATAATTCTCCCTTCTAGCCGCTAAATTTTGCTTGGAAAATTATTCAAGCGTTTTTGATATAAATATAACACTCTCACACTGGTAGGTTTAGCAACAGTTACCCTTAATTATAACATCTGTTAGTCGCTAAATATAATTGTGTTATTAGGAAGAAGTTACTCTATGATGTAAATTACTCCAAAGATGTAAACATGTACAATGTATAAAGATTACGATTGATAATAATTTGTTTCGTTCCTTTTATTTAGTGATTCTTGAAAGTTTTTTAACGATAGCACGTGAAATGTTTCTGTTGCCTCTCTCCATTGAATCTTTTCGAGCGATTTTCCTTTTTTTTCTGCCTAATAAGTTCTACTCAATTGTGTTGCAATCTCGAAGGCCAACTAGATGTGTTACAGGAAACCGTATGTGTAGGGCTGGTTTCTACAACATTGGAATTTCCTGGAAATCTTCTGTCATTCCAAAATTTCAGATACCGGCGCTTTTTTGCCCGTACGTCGCAACCCTGTTTTGGTAAAATATGTCGCAGTGAATAAACGAAATAATTCCACGACTCCTAATGAAATAACGCAAAATTTTCGTTGCCATCCACGGCATCCACGGTTTTTCTAGGCAAAAATTTAAAACATAGAAGACCAACAAAATAAATTGCCGCTAATAATTCATTTTTAAGCCCACTTCATAAGGAGAGTCGAAGTCGTGAATAAGTTAACGTAACCGTATAAACCATTAGGTCCTCGACTTCCGCGGTCCAAGGCTGATGAGTTAGAGACGAACTTGATTAGGCACAGATGAATGATGCCATGCAATAATTTTGGGCATATTTATATGGTAAGAGCATAATGCCAAAATAACGACCGACATTCTTGAGAAGAACGCGTTAAGATACGAGTGTAATGCAAAATCGTGCACATCATTTTGAGCATATTTTTTTCAGGGTGACGCTCAAAAGCTTAATGCTCGAATTTTCGGGCATAATATATCGGACCATAAACTTGATAGAGTGAGGATTAGAGCTGTTAAAAACGTTCATTTTCACCGGTCAAGTAGTGTTATGATGCTTTTAGATATATCCGGAGATGGTCTGTCACAGTCGTTAAATAACGAAAGGCATAAAGGGAATTGGGCCAATTTAGTTTATCACGCTTGGCACTTCCTTGACCCAGGCTTTACAGATGTATATGAAAGCGAATATCTTGTCGCATAAATTAGATCTGAAAAGTTCCCACGCTACTGATGTTGATGTTTCTAGGAAATCAACGACCTTGTATCAGCTTTAACAATGTTTTGCCAGAACATTGCAGCTATTCATAACTGTCATATACTGGCATAAGTTCAAGTCAGATTATAGCCAATCATGCAGAAACCGAAAGCTTCTGTTAATAAATCAGTGCGTAGCGTAGGTGCCAGAATTTCTTGTAACATCGTTCTTTATGGACATAATCTAATTCTGAGGGTATTAAAAAGTCTTTCTGACCGCTTATGAACAACAAATTTGGGACCAATTGTTGGTGCAATTTAGCCATTCAGTCTACATACGTAGACAACCAGATGGACAGCCTGTCTATGCGCTTTGAATTCAAACTTATCACCGTCTATGCGCTTTGAAACGTATCACCAGGTGGAGACTAGTGCTAAATATGGTAATGGTAAATGAACTGCATTTGTTTTTCTTAATGTACATAATCACCATGTGCTCTATAAAGATGTCAACTCAATGAATACACTATAATCCTAGATCTGAAGTTTTTCAAAACTTAGAAGGTATATCTCTACTCAGAGCAAACGCTTGAAACAAGCTAGGGAGAGGTAGGGACTTATCAAATGAACAGGTTTGGACCCTCGCTTTTATTTGTTTACGCTTGTATCAATCAGTGAATCGATCAATCAATTATTTTGATGCGACAGAGACCGGGTTGAAACGCAGAGTACTCATCTAAGAAAATATAGCATAACGCCAACATCTGTACAGTTATTGAGCTAAGGAGGATATCTCTTGTGTTTCTGAGTACCTCAGGCGATTTTTAATTCCTCTAATTCTGAGTTTTGATACATTATTCCTGTACTGCAGCAGAACTTTCGATGCGACAGAGACCGAACCGAAAAGTAAAATATCTTTCTCAGAAATTATGGCGTTTTGCCCACTTCTTCATAATTGTTATTTATTTTTAAGACGCCTCCCTCTAGAAATAAATTATGAATGAAAGCTGAACTTTTGAGTGTGATGACTATCAAGAAGCAAGTAGCCTAAGGGCGTTAAGTGGAGCGGCTTTGTTGTAACGTTGTGAAGCGGAGGATCTGGATGGAAAGTGAAACTGGTTCAGTTGCAGTAACGTTAACGAACGAAGCGAATTGGCCGACATCACGCAAGGGCGTAGCCAGGAGGGTCCTTGGGTGCCTGTGACCCCCCCTTGGTAGGCCTTCTTTAGAGCAAACAACCTACAATATTTAGGTGGCGAAAACGCCATGACAATATCTTGGCCATTGAAATTTTTTTTTGTGAGTCAGCGGCTCTTGTATTTAGTTAATATGGGCCTTCATGCCGCGATAATACGACTGAGCCAGCTCATACACGTAGAAGAGCAGCAATGTAAATGGCGAGTAGCCTCTGTGACCTCCCCTTTGAAAAATCCAGGCTACGCCCCTGTCACGGTATTACTAACTTTCGAAAGCAGACACCCTTTAGGAAGCTTCAGCTCAAGGATTAACAGCTGAAATCTTCCTCGCAATAACAATGTCATTGCATCTAAGTTCGTTGAAACTGAACAAGAAAACCCATACACACATTTTTATTCGAACTGATGAATATCTTTCCAGAGATGAGTTTCGCGTGATCTAACATCAGAAACAGCGCCGTCTCGTCGAAATTTATTGTCATGAATATGATTAGGCTTTGAAGGTCAAATTCTCAGAAAAGCGTATTGACATTTCATCAGCTAGTTGGTAAATATTGCCTTCTCAATATTTTGAGACTGAACAGACCGGCTTACAATCGGGATAGTAGGGCACTCAATGCACGGCCAGAGTGATGCAATTCAGTAGATTTGACGGGGGTTTCATAATGACTTAATCAGTTTGCTCATTCAATTAGCCACTCTGACTATTACAGTATATTAGTTGTTTCGTAAAGCACTGAGTTAGTAAGTAGTATTTTCCTTCCGGGAGACCGTTCTTTACAGAGGTTTAATTTAATTTATCGCAAATGCTGTAGACCACGCATAACTTAAACTCACTTAACACGAGACTCTTTCTTCCAACACTTGCAACGCAGTACCCTGCCATGCAAGATTTCCAAAGATTGTATCTTGCCCAGAAAACCCCTTGATTTGCAAGGGAAAAGGAAATGCAACTCTGTTCTGGAAGTTTGAGGTGCGGCCCACAGAGACATGGAACAATTCTATCAATGAGGTGGTTTTCGGTGTCCGGCAGGAAGTATCCTGGATTCCTCCAAAAAAAAAAAACTTCTCCTCATCAACAGCACCGGTGGAGAACTAATAAGAGAAACTACGAGAAAAAGATAAGCTGTAACTTTGACATGTCTCTCTTGCAAGTGGCATTTACTTTACATCATTTGGATAACGACGATGAAAATGACTATGGCGTTCAAGTCCGGAGTTCAAGTCCGGAGTTTGGCCTGAGTCGAGCCCCCTTAACGGATAATGTCAAGCTTCGTCTTGAAGGTAATAAGTCCTCGACTGTCGTAAACACTAAATCATCTTCAAACATAATGGACTGACAAAAATTTCTCACAAATTAAACAAATCTCTAAATGTTTTATACCTTTTAACCATGATCTAATTTTTCCTGGGAACAAGTGAAGAGGATAACTGACAAGGGCAGAATGACGGGAAAATTTATCCGTGGTAGCTTAAATAATTTCTTTGGTAAAAAACCATCGTAACATAATTCACAATTTCACACTGGATGTGATGTGTCTCGTTAACCCTATCAAGAGGTGGAATTAATATCCCAGGAACCTTTTTGACTCTCTTTTTGCCACAATCATAAACAATTAGGGGTGGAAGGAAGTTCGTAGAATACATTAACAGTCTATAACTTAAAAGGAAAAGATATGTTTAACTGATGCCCGAGGTAGCTCAACTGCTACAATGGAAACTGTTGTGAGTTGATACTCATGGAGTATAGACAAGGATTTATTTAGTAATTTAATTGATCAAGTAAAACACAGATCAATTGTTTATATTGAAAATGGTTTTTATTTCTTTTTCTATCACATCCACCTAAAATCTACACTCCTCAACAAACAAACATCTCCGTGAGGAATGGTGATCCACTGATGATAAAATGCCATGCAAGTGGATTTCCCACACCACACCAAACATAACATGACAAAACAGGGGAAAACTATTGGAAAACCAAGCTCTTTATTTCATTTCTCTAAAGGCAAGTGACATCATGGGGAAGTTTACCTTGTGTGAAGCTCATAACCAAGCAGGCAAAGACAGCACGAAAATTACTCTCAGAGTTGAGGATTCTGACGATCTCGATTTCCCAACAACGCAGAGAGGTAAATTTAATCAATTTATGTTAACCCCCCTTTGAACTGCCGTAAACTTGTTAGAGAATGTATGTCCTCACACTTACCGATCTCTGAGAAATGAAAACTGGCTATTTTGATAAGGATGAAGAGAAGAGTGAGTCCTTTTTTTATGACTTACGAAACGTCTATTGATATAAGTTTCTCTAAAAAAGCAACCTGACATAACTCACTCAGTCACGGTCCACTCTAAATAATTTGGCATTCATCTTTCTCCTTTTTTTTCCTTATTAACTATATATTACATCTCTTCTTTCTGTTCCAGGTCCTGAATCGCCACCAGTAACATCAGAGGTTGCTGGTCCTGTGGGGATCATCTGCTTAGTGGCCATTACTGGACTGGCTTATTATATTCATTTTGATAACACTCACAGAAATACAAAGACGTTGCAAAAAAAGGAGATACATTACAAGAAACAAATTGACTTAAAAGTCTCGTGAATCTTACTCAGTCACTAAGCTGTAGCCAGTGTTAGGCTCTCACTCAGTGCACATAATCGATATTAGATAAAACGAGGAACGGCTTGAGACTGAGAGAGGAAAAAGAAAAGAGAGCCTGCAAGTGTTGTTTTAAATCATGATAACCATCACGGAGCATAGTCTTAGGAAAAAAACCAACGTATGCCACGTTTCACTTGCGCCTGATTTAGAATGTTTCCATGTACTGACCAAGAACTGGCCATACATCAAAAGTTTAAATTAACTCATAAAGAAATTTGCAAAGTAAAAATAGGTTCTTATAGGTGTACATTATTGTATGATAATCCAGATTTAGCAAAGGGTCGACCTTCTTCTCTTTAAACCTACAAAGAAGCCGTAGATGGAGTTGTCTTACTTAAATCCATACGTGAAACGCACAATTTGAAATAATGTCATTTATTTTTTAGATAACTCCACAGAAACCAGGACAAGTCCTACTCCTCAATCTACCCGGGTCACTAGTCCCAGTAGCAGCTCAGCAGGTCAGCTTTTAACTTACTAAATGGAGTAGTCAATCATAGTCTGTTGTAACACAGCTTTATTGAACGCTTACCCGATCCAACTGAGTTGATAATACAATCTGCCACTAAGTAATTCCGGTTATCATTTCATAATTCTCCCACTTTCTTTCCGGCTGAAAGAAACACTCCTTGAAACAATGAAAAAGCAGCAAAATAGATAATCGTCAAAGCCATCTTGAATACGATGATAGAAGCCCCAAAGTAAAAGATATGGCACCTTCACATAGTGAGTAGTCTTAAGATTTGTGCCTAAACTGAAAAAAATCCCTTAAACTCAAAATTTTATGGTTTGTCATTAGTATACCACCAACACATACAAAGAGCAACCAGTAGCCTTCAAGATTTAGGGATGACTAGCAAATTCTGCATTAAAATTTTCTTAGCTCTGCCGGCAAGAACCTTTAATTAAAAATCTCTCCTTTTGAGCAGTCATATTAGATTCCTACGTCTCTACCTCGCAGTAGTACATTTGTAAATGTGCACAACGCCTCTGGATAGGCTTGAAGTTTTGAGATTGCACTGAATACTGGTAAATCAGTGTTAGCGTTTAGTACCTTCACATAAACTAGGAAACGACTAGTTTCTCTGTTAACTTAGGTCTACAACGGTAGAGTTAATTACCTTGTGAGTAGTTCTGACCTTAGCTTTTTCCCATTTTTGCCTACTCTCTTTTGCATATCACTCTCACCTGCTGGCCTACTCACCGGAGTGAATATTGCATCTTTTATTTTCCAGGTCTCACTAGCTCAGGGTGGAAGACAAAAGCGATCACAATGATTTTGGCTATCATTGCTGCAAATTAGTATTAGTCGAAAGTAGAAACAAGAAAATGGATCAATCTCGTTCCCAGCATCCTTTCTCTACCTCCCTCCAAAAAGGGAGGGAAAGAGATGACCCCAGGAACGAGGTTGCCTGACCATTTGAACTCTGAGAGATATCGCCGTTGTTTTCAACCAAAGCTCCCCAATGGACACAATAAGCGGCAGCGTAAAATTCACCTTTATATCACTGTTGTTGTAGATTTAAACATTGTCAATACTGTTTCATTAACCATTAGATGAATCTAAATGAATACATGATGAAAATTGAAAATAATAACCATCAGACATGAAGTAAATTTTCGGACATCTCTTGTTGCGCATGACTGACGGCGCTGGAGGAGAGGTCCTCTTCCTTGTCATCAGTCATGGACAGTGCAGAGGTGCTCTGCGGTCGAGATTGTCGCTTGACTAGTGCTTGATGTATGTGCTCAACCATAGCCAACTGAGATGTGGCTCCCGAATAAGAAAGGCCCAACGTAAATTTGACGTGTGCGTGAGGCTAATGGTCAAGCCGCATTCTCAATCCAAAAGGTTACGGAAAGACTGGGACAGAGAATTGTCAGACCGAGGTTATTTTAAGGGGTTAAAGTGAGTCATCGTTAAGTTTTTGTTTCGTAATATATGTACTATTAGTCTATTTTAGGAGGACTTATCAGAGCTGAACCAAATGTAGGCTTTACTACTGTTATGAAGGTTAAGTATTAGCTAACGCTAACCGGATGTCTCTATAAACTGTAACTATCAAGCCTACGGGTGTTTAGTGATATTTTGTTTTTTATCAGTTAAAAGTTTGTATTTTCCAGCAGCTGTATTTATCCTCGACAGTATACGTTGATATTTAGAGGTCTTAAGAAACTTAGCAAAACATACGTTTCGTCACGGTTACGAAGGTTGACTATTAGTCTACCGGATGTCTCTGTAATTACAAGCCTATTGTTGTTTAGTGTTCTGTAGTGTTTTATATCAGTTCAAAGTTTGTATTCGCCAGATCCTCGATAGTATACGTTGATATTTAGAGATTTTAAGAAACTGAAACAAATGTACTCTTCGTTACATTTTTGAAGGTTTAGTTTCACCTGCCGAATGTGTCTGTAAATATCAAGCCTACAGTAGTTCAGCATTCTGGAGTATTTTATCAAAGTTTGTGTTAACAAGCAGCATTAACGTTCCTTAGTTAACAGTTAACTCCTTAATATTTTGTTGGCGATGACTGATCCCCTTCCTTTCACCTTGAAAACCATGTGAGACTTCCCCCCTCCCCAAAAAAAGTCCTCCACCCCGTCCCCAGGCGATTCATAATGATGGATCCCCAAGTTTCTTTACCAACGGGAGATGTCGTGATTTCACTCGACTGTCCAAACAGTTAAATTTCTTATTAGGAATGTCCATTCCGTTACAGCATTTCAATCCTTAGGATTGAAACGCTTTTCATATTTTCCGGTCAGGTCGCTCGGTTCTTATTGTGCTATTGGAAAGCGCCAAGAAATCTTGGGAATTTAGGAATTGGACAGAACCTGCAACTTGCAATGAAAACTTTATTTTGAGAGAGGTGTAGAAGATGAGTGGCTCCTAATAAACACGTGAAGACAAATAAAAGATAGGCGATGCTGTTGTGTGTACCTTTTCGTGGAATTTCACAGCATCAAAATTAGCCACATTAATACATATTCCTGCAAATTAGACTAATTGTTTAGATTTGACAAGGCGATGAAGAAACGTTCGATACTTTGGATTTGTTACTTTGCGATTCATTGCGTCACAGGTAAGCCAAACAGTTCTTTGCGTGAGTTTTTGAGCATAATTTATTGTCGGCCAATTAAAAGTCCAAACGTGTTGTCTAAAACGATCGCGAGTCGGAAACCCGAAGATAAGGAGGTGAATATTATATTTTAAGTATTTTACAATCCACGGTTAATGGGAAGGTCTTAACTCTAACCCAAAACGCTGTACCGAATTTGTTTTTTTTCTGAATTAAAAGTGACAATTAAAAATGCGAACTTTGGAGCATTGGCGTATATCAGGTCGACGAAATTAATCAAGTCAATTATTTCACACTTTTCCAGAAGAAAATGTTCGCGGCGTGAATATGAATGGTTGTAGAAAAGGCGGTGAACTGCTTGTTTATCCTTACAGAGCAATTTAGAGGTTTATGAAGAGCAAGAATACTACACCAATGAGGAAATTACCAGGGGTCTGAATAAATCAAATTTTGACGTAATAAATATTCTGAAGATTGCTTTTAAAATCATTTCTTCTTGTATTCGAATTTTTCAGCTACTGTGACGACCGCAGCAGATGTCTGTTCCTGATTTTGCATTTCTGGTGTTCTGATTGTTTCCTCCCAATTTCTTTCCGGCTGAAAGTAAACGCGCCCTGGAGCAATGAAAAAGAAGTAAAATCAAATGAATAAAAGTCGATCCCATTAGTGATAAAAGCC